AGTAATATCGAACAGAACTAATACTAATAAATTATAAATAAAAAAAAAAATTTCTATAACAACTACTTAGATTACAAAAAGGAAAAGCAAGATCGCAAAAAAACCTATTTTGAAATCTATCAAGATTATTATCTAACTAAAGACAGATTAATCCCCTCTATACTATATTCCAGTAAACCAGAATAAAACCTTCCTTCGGCGAAATCTGCGGTCTTTAGATAGTTTCTCGCATGCAGGACTTTTCTCCAAAGAAGTTCATTTCAACGTCTTCCAATGTACCGTATCCCAGACACGTGACTTGATATAATTGGCCTCCCCAATGTTGATCAGCATCTCCACAAACTTTGATTTTGATTGGTACCTTCTGCTTGAAAAATCTTGCCTAAAACGTATAGGCCACACCTTGTACCACACCTTAAGAGGACATTTAACATATGCACCAAAATACTACTGCGCCAAACCAAAATGAAACCCAAAGAAAAAAGGAAAGGAAAAAGGAAAGAAAAAAGGGTAAAGGGTAATAAACACCAAACCAAGCAACCTCCAGAAAAAGCTAACCGCGTCCCAAAACTTCCACCAACACACTAAGAAAGAATAAACTTGATTGCGATGAAAGACATATATATATATATATAGAAGATTTAAATGAAGATAGAGGAAATGAACATTCTGGTAAATGAAATCAGTAATATGTCTACTGCTAAAAAATAGAATCCAGAGGAATATATATCTGGAAGGAAAGGAGAGAAAATAGGTAATAAAGTGGCTACATCCATTTGAAGGAAGTGAATCCATTACTGAGAATAAGATTAGTAGATAAAGATGTTAGTTGTAACTGTAATATTAAGATACAGTGTCGTATGTAATAGGTTGCAACCTATCTACATTAAAAAGCAAAAGTTGTAATGCTGTAATTAGGTTGTAATGCCATAATTAGGTCGTAATACTGTAATTAGGTCTTAATGCCGTAACTAATCCGTAATGCCGTAATTCCAAAATTATGTATGTAATTTCGGCCAGAATTATGCACTTAATTTTAGCAGAAATTAACAAATATCCTAAAATAGAAAGTGTTGTTACACAAAATTCCAGTGTCGTTCCCGCTAAAATCAATTTTTGTGGAATGGCTATCGCCAAAAAAGGGGACGTCTAAAGCGGAGTCAAATCACGTGACTTTGAAAAAAATTTATTTTTTAAATAAAATTTTTCGCAATATATATACGACCTTTTAAACATATATACTAAGTGTATTTTGTCCTGCTCTGCAAGTTTACTTAGAATGTCAAAATAAGTTTTGAATGCCATTTTCGATTTATTTGACTTTTCATTTTTGTCTATCCATTTTTGGATATGATCGGCAAAAAAGCTTTTGCTAATATATAAAGTGAAAACCAGTATTCAAAATCTACCTTTTAACCTTAAGTAAACTCGTAGAGCAGGCTAAAATACACTTATTTTATGATTTTCAAGTTTATGTTAAACTTGATTCATAAAAAAATTAGTTCACTCATATTATATCAAATCACATGATTTGACTCCGCTTTAGATGACCCCCAAAAAAGGAAAGATCTGCATTCCCGTTTTGGCTGAATTATGATTTTCAGCTGAAATTACATGTTTAAGTGAAATTACGTTAATTTCGGCCGGAATTATATTTTGGATTTTGGATTTCGGATTTTAGGAAATATGTGACCGTGTAATTTCAATTCATATGGGCCGATTCTTGGAATCTAATTTTTTTACACAAAAATAATTTTATTAAAGCAAATATAAATTATCATTTATATAAGAATAATAAATTTATACTAGATAATGCAAAAAAAACTAATTAATTATATAATTTTTAATTTTTTTTTAATATAAAATATCATTAAAATTTAAAAGATCAAATATAACTCTCATGACAAAATCATTGATAATTCTTTGTAGAAATAAGCTATACAAATAAATTTACATTCATTTGAAAGAGAAAATCGAGATCTATCTAATGAATCTAAAATCAAGTGAATTGAATCACTAGTTGTTCAGTAGTCACATTCAGTATATTTATTGAATTTTATCTAAATTTGATCATTAATTACTTTACATGTAGTGATTCAATTTGAATGATCTTTGCTCCCTAAGGTGATGCCAACCTTTATCTTTAAAATAAATTTAAAATAATTCGTTTAATATATGTAGATGTTTAGGAATCATCGATTATATTATTAATATAAAATTTTATAAGTTTGATAAAATCTGATATAAAAAAATTTATTAAATACCTGTAGATGCAAGCTACACGAATGAAATTATATTCATTGGAAAGAGAAAATTGAGGTCTATCTAATAAGCCTAAAATCGAATGAATTGAATCACTGGATTGTGAATAATTACGTCTAATATATTTATTTTTAATTTTTAAATTTGATTTGACTTTGATCGTTAATTACGCCTCATCCAGTGATCCAATTTTCCTGATCTTTGATTCTTACGATAGAGCAAATTCTCAGCTTTCAAATGAATGTAAAATGATGACGTTAGCATATCTCCAGGAATAATAATGCACGATTTTGTCACCTGCATAAAGTCCGATCTGAAAATTTTATTTCTTACCAAAAAATGCTTTCATAAGAGAATCCCAAATTCTTTTACTTTATTTAAAAGATTTTATTTGCCATTTAAGGATTTTAGTAGAATAAATCTAATAAAATAATTTTAAAAGATAAAAAACAAATATATAATTAGTTATTTTGAAAAAAAAAGAATATCTTATTATTCATTTTACAACTATTTTACATCATAATTATTTTTTATTTGCATGTATTTTTTACAAAGAAAAAACAATAAATTAAAGCTAAAAATTATGAAAAAATATGTCTTATCTATGTATATAAAATATTAAGTTTTTTCTTTTACTTACCACTTAAAAATAACTGCTATATTTGCTTATAAACTTTTTTGTCATATTTAATAAAAGTGAATAGAAAAATGATGGAAAAGTGATGGGCAGTGATGGGGAAAAAGAAGTGGTTATTACCGTTATTTTTGAATATTGATTAAAAAAATTTTTTTTTATTTTTTATTAAATCTGAGTTACGTAAATATGTAACACATATTTAATTTAGATTTGTGTAATGTTAATCTTACTAAAATATTAAATTTTTATAAAAATCTTAATTTAAACTAATTCCAAAAATCGGCACATATGTTTAAGGGGTAAATAATATCAATAATAATAATAATAATAATTTTTTTTTTTTTTAAAAAAGTTTATATGTAAATTATGCATAAAATCATCTAATTATAATTATTAAAGATATTATGCTAATTTAATATAAATTTTTTGAAAAAAACTTTATATTTCCCACCTTCCACCCCCGACCACCCATCCTTAGGGATTTTGGTTCATTATATAATTTTTTTCTTTACACGAACGCGTATACAAAATACAAAAAAAAACGCGACACGTCTTATGTACCCCTAAAAATTAAAATTACATGACATATAAACTATTGTAATTTACTTTTATAATTCATTACTTTTATTTTAAATTTTTATACCATTAAAAATTAAGACATTACAGCCTAATAATAGCATTATGACCTAATTACAGCATTACGACCCAATTACAGCATTACGGCCTAATTACAGTATTACGAAAAGCGTCATAACTGTAATGCTGTATGCTGTAATATTATGGCATCGGCCAATCAATTATGGCTAACATCTTTATTAGTAGACACAATTCTTTATCTGCTAGGACACATCTAAAAATTTAGAAGTTCAGAGAACATCGATCAATTAGATGATTGATCATGAATTTTGATAGATTATCCAAATCGGGCAGTTGGTGTAAATCATCTTTGAGGGAGCATTAACATCTTACACTATAGTTTATGTGGCGAAATAAATTTTTAGACAATATTACATTAGATAATTAATTTTTTTACATAATTAAATTTTATAATATATTTAACAATAATTATACTAAATATTGCACGATGTCCTTACAAGACCAACAACAAGTATCTTAACATGGTTTATATATACTGTTATGTCCTGTAATATTAATTTTACAATACATTTAAAAATTAAGTTGTTAGCAAAGTAAAGAAAAAATTTTTTTTGAAGGTTATACCTTCAGAATGAGAGGCCATATCTTGTCTTTTAGCTTCCTGGACCCACAAAAAAAGAACAAATAAACATTAGTCAACATTTCGTTTAAAAAAAGGAAAGAAAAAAATTTTTTGAAATAATTACCTTCAAAATTTTGCGATCTACACAATATATAACATCTGGCCGGATATATCCAAAGTGCTACTCTGGTATTCTGGATGCATCCAGGTAACTATTCAGGGTTTTTGATCAACTACCCTGGATGTATTCAGATAAACTAGGGATGCATCCAGCGATCCAGGGTAACTACCCAGAATTTTTGATCAGTACGGGCTGTACGGCACTTCATAGTCTCCCTAAATTACTGATCTACCTACTATAAAAATTTGGGATACATTTATTTTATATTCGTATTCATAACATTGTGAACTGTGACACTACATCATGGAACAATAATGAAAATATTTAGATAAAATTTTTTATAGGGATTGTTGCTGAAATTGAAATTATATTATCAATTTAATTACTGAATTAACTGAAATTCCAGATGTCTAAGGTCATTAATTTATTAACCAATTAATGACAGGACAATATTTACAATATACTAGCTAGTCTTTAAAGTAATTTTTTGCAGTTGAAACAAAGTAATTTTGCATCAAGTAACTAAGTTATTCCTGGGAATTACAAATGTCAGATTATATGATGTTAATTATTAAGGCATTAATTATTTATTTAGATTTATTTAAACATGTGTTCAATTACAAACTGATTTTATTTATATACAGTAAGTAAAAACTTACATATACCCTATAATCAGTGTAGAACAAAAACTAACTAATAATGTTAAAGAAAAAAAATTATAATTACTCTATTCTAAAATAATTATAATCCTGTTTTGAATAGAAACATTATGAACAAGCATCTATAATGATATTAAACAAACTATGCATTAGATGCAAAAATATTGTAATAAGAACAAAATACTACAATTAGCTATTTGTCTGTATTTTAAGTTTAATAATCGCAAGATATTAAAGAGTTTGGAGAATCTAATTGATATATTCAATATGATAAAGATATTTGAAAGCTAAATTACCATAAGATTCCGGATTAAAAATTTAATCTGAATATCATCAATCAAGGATTGCATAACTTAAATATTCAGATTTTAGAACATCTTTCGTAAAAAATTTGGATACTAATTGAGATGTATAAATAACTCGTTGATGTTTGATTTCTTTAAAAGAATCTAAGAGGTGTGATTTTCTGTAAATTTCTGCTTCTATAAACTGCTTTCTAAATTCTATTGCATTTGAATCACCTTTTTTATATAAATTATAGAAATTATAAAATGACTCAATTAATTCATGTATTTCAGTAGTATTTGGTCTATTATCTGGATTTGAATCCCAACATCTTTTCATTAAGTCAACATAACATTTTGGCACTTCCAGCTCATTTATTTCAGGTCTAATTCCATCAAATATGTCTAATATTAGATGATGATCATGTGCACAATGTATAAAAGGTTGTTTTCCAGTTGCTGTAAAATACATAATCATACCAAAGCTATATACATCTGCTGCTTGGGTATAAGCTTCATTTCTTATCACCTCAGGAGCCAGATAGGAAATAACTCCATAAGTTTTTACCTCACTTGTATTATTTACATCTTCACACAATCCCATATCTGATATAAATAATGATTTTCTATTAAAAGTATTTAAACTTTTTGTTAAAAATAATATATTTCCTGGATGTAAATCATGATGAACCTTTTGATTTTGATGAATCTCTTTAAGACCTTCAATGATATATAATAGTGTTTGAATTTTATTTTTCCAATTAAAGTCTTTATAATTATTATTTATCCAACTACAATAACTTCCACCTTCTGCATACTCAAGAACTATAATAAAATTGTTTGTATCCGGATTCTGGGATATTCCATATACATTAAGAATACCACTCTTTTTACTAATTGAATATTCTTTAACCTGTTTAAAAATATGTATTATTAATTTAAAAAAGTTTTTAGTTAATCACAATAAATTCATAAAATACTCTCATACCTCATTTAAGAATTTATCAGTTAAGTTTTGCGAATTATTCAGACATTTTAAAGCAATTTTTTTGTTTGAAACTCTTGTATACGTTTTCTTATAAATATCATATTTTAATGGACCATCTTTCCATATTGCTGAATATACTGTAGCAAATCCGCCTTTGCTTATTTCCTTAATGTAATTGAATTGATTATATGGTATCCATTCAAATACTATATTAAAACAAGAATTTATTCTAGATTGCATTTCTTTAATTAAATCAACAAATTTTTTATTCTCAATTGTCCATTTTATAAAAATACATGGTTTACACCACATGTATCTTGTTTGAGTAAATTTTATTCCACAATTTTTACAGTATATTTTACCATATTCCATACAATATTCTTTTTGAAGAACTAAAATGTAATCTTTTTTATCTCAATTTTGAGATAACCCATATATATTAAAGTTTTTATCAAATTCTTTAACCTGTTAAATTGTAAAATATTTTATTAAATTAAAAGAAAATTAAATTAAATTAATTAAATTAAAACATTTCATACCTTATCTAGAAATTTTTGTGAATCATTATAACATAATAAAGCAACTTCATATTTCCATATTGCTGAGCATACTGTAACAAAATGGCCTTTGCCTATATTCCTAATTCTATTAAACTGATTGAATGGTATCCATTTAAACTTTATATCACTTGGTTCATCAATTTTTAATTGAATTAATAAATTATCAATTTCATCATTTCCACTTTTCCAGCCCATAAATTTACATGGTTTGCACCATTTATACTGGACATCTGTATATATTTCATCACATATAACACAATATTCTTCAGAAAATAGAACCAATATATAGTCATTAGTATTTGGATTTTGAGATATTCCATATAATGCAAGAAACTCATCATTTTTTGTTGAGTATTTTTTAGCCTAAATATAAACAAAAATTATATGTTAAAAAAGTATATGTTATTTATTAAACCATTTGTAAAAATATCATACCTTATTTATTACAGATTCTATCAAATTTTGTGAATTATGCAAAAATTTTAATGCAACTTCTTTATTTGAATCTCTTGTATACTTATCATGTTGATAGTATAATGGACCATTTTTCCATATTGCTGAATATACTGTTATAGAATTATTTTTACCTATTTCTTCAATTTTATTGAACTGATTGTATGGTATCCACTCAAATATTACATCTTCATGACCATTAATTTTTAATTGCCTTTCTTGAATGAAATCATCAATTTTTTCATTTCCACTTATCCAATTTGTAAGATTCATGGAATCATTTTGAACTAAAATATAATCATTTGTATTTGGATTTTTAGATATTCCATACAATACAAGAAACACATTATTTTTTGTTGAATATTTTTTAACCTAATATATAAATAAAAAGATAAATAAATTGATAAATAAACAATGTTAAAAAGAAGTATTAATAACATTAATTAGTAACATTTATAAAAATTTTGTACCTCATTTATTACAAATTCTATGGAATTTTGTGAACTATGCAAAAATTTCAACGAAACTCCTTTATTTGAATCTCTTATATACTTATCATGTTGATAGTATAATGGACCATCTCTCCATGTTGCTGAATATACAGTTATAAAGTTATTTTTGCATGCTTCTTTAATTCGATCAAACTGATTGTATGATATCCATTCAAACACTATATCTTCATGGTCTTTAACTTTTAATTGCCTTTCTTGAATGAAATTATTAATTGAGGCTTCTTCAAGGAATAAACCTAATGGTTTCGCTGGTGAAGATTCTCCTATAAATTGTGAAGGTGATGAAATAAAATAAATATAAATAAATACATAATCTATATAAATGTTACTTAACATAGTAGATGTTGAGAATTCTTGTTAATAAATTCAATTACCTGAATTTAGACAATCAGAAATGCTTAAATCGCCATTGGAATCAATGTTTGAATTCTTTATTTCAATAATGCTAAGTTGTGGAGATTGCAGACAAGAAGAATTCTCAGTCTTTAATTGACATAAAATTTCATATACTCTTTCAATATCGGGTCTTGAATTAGGCTCATCGTCCCAACATTTTTGATAAAGTTTTTGATAATCTTGGGGTGTACCATCATCAATCGGTTTTTCTCTAAGATTATTAAAACCAATATGAAAAGCTAATATATTTCGTTGATAGCCAAGAAAAGGAGGCCGCCCGCTTGAAATTTCCCATAATAAAACGCCTAAACTATAGATATCAGACTTTTTAGTTTTTTTGTACTCGATATTCTTGAAACATTGTGGTTCCATATATTCAATCATTCCTATAATATCATTTTCTGAATTTGCTGAAACAGAAGTAGCTTCTGATAATTGCTTAGATGATCCAAAGTCTGCAATCATTAGTTTATGATTATTAACTAATATATTTTTTGCATGCTATAAATAAAGTAAATAAAGTGAAATATATTTAAATCAATAGAATTAATAGAAAAGACGGAATACGAATATATGATAATTTAAATTATTATATTACCAAATCTCTATGAATTATGTGCTTAAAATGTAAACATTTTAATCCACATACAATATCCGAGGCCATCCGAATTTTATCACTCCATTTAAGATTATTAATGTGAATTTTTAAATATTCTCTTAAATTTCCTTGATCAGCATATTCTAATACCATTGCATATTTATTTGATAAAGGTTCTAATACAAATAAAATTAGTAAATTATTAACGATCAACTTCATAAAAATTTACATGAAATATATAAACCTTTTGAAATTCCAAAAAATCCATTTATGTTTGGATGAAAGCTGACCTTCTTTAAATTCTTTAACTACAACATGAATTATTTAGCATAATCATTAAATACTGTATGTTAATTTGAGTATAACGAAAAAAATTTTATGTAATATTACTTCTTTAACAAACTCGTCCATAATATTTTCATCAACCGAAGAATTATTTATAAGAATCTTTATTGCTATTTTAATTCCACAACTTTTCCAATGAGCGCTATTTACAATTCCAAATGCTCCTTCTCCAACTTTTTCCACATTACTGAACTCACTATATTCAACATAATCTATGTTTCCATCTTTTATTTTCATATCAATCCATTCGTTAAGTGACGTCATAATTAAGAAGAATGTACTTTTATAAATTTTTTGAATTAATTGAATTACATTTAAACGGTCAGTTCATTATAAAATATGAAACATGCAGGAGTCGTCTTACTCGGGTAGCACAATTATTATTGCCGTTTTCAAAATGGTTGATCTGACGTCGATCATTGCTGTCACAGCATCTCTTTTTTGTGTGCCAGGTTCGTGACGCAGCCAGCAGATTGTGATGCAACGAAAATCATAAAGAGAAATTTTTTTTAATAACATATAACTTCAAAAATTACTAGATAGTTGTAATTTTGGCTGCTCTTCAAGTTTACTTAGAGCGACAAAGGCGATTTTTAATATCATTATTGACTTATTTAATAAAAATTTTTCTTTCACGAAATCCATTTTTGGAAACGATCGACAAAGACGGTAGAATCAATCATTTATATGTAAAGTCGAAATCGGCATTCATAACCTTCTTCCGAATCCTAATTAAACTTGCAGAGCATGTGAAATTACATCTACAATATAAGTTTAAAATCTTTGTGTTGAAGAAAAAATCCTTTAATGATGTTTTATAAAAATTTACTGCGCCACGAACCTGGCACACAAAAAAAGGGTGCGCTGTCACACACACAAAAACTATCACATGATAATTGGCCAATCAAAATGCGTTATTTATTATAAATTATTTACATCTATCTAATAAAAAAAAATCGTCATATTTAGATTACCCTGTATAAATAATTTGAATTGTGTAACATTGAAAAAGTGTCATGCGTCCGGTATTTAACATCATAAGATCGTAAGAGTTCGTAAGGCATAACCTTCATAAGATAATTAAGGAAACTTTGATTGACCTTCCTGACTACGATAACCAATCTTTAAACTAATACATTAGTTAATTAAAATTTTAACTGGATTTTTTTTATTCTGATGGATTAATACTAACAAAAAAAAGTATAATTTTTCTTATTAATTGCATTTTATTTGCGGTCATTTCCGCTCTCTTAATTACCACAAATAACCATTTCTATAATAATTTTTTTTTTTTGGTTAATAACCAAAATTTTTTTTTATTCATTTTTTTTTGTTTTATTTTATTGGATTTTTTTTAGGGGATTTTTTTTAATCGGAATTTATCAAAATTTCTTGGAATTTTTTTTAACCCAAAAAAAATATTGTTTATTCTTTTTTTTTGGTTTGGGTCTAGAACTATGTCCTACGGCTTTTTCGATGTTTAGTGAGATTTTTTTTAGTCAATGATATTGTTTCTGATTAAATTCGCGTGAAAATTTTTTTTAGTGAGAATTTTTTTGATTTAGTGAGAACTTTTTTGTTTATTGTTTTTTTCAATATTATTTCCCAACTAATGGATTTGCGTGAAATTTTTTTTTTTGATATTAAACAAAATTTTTTTTTTAGTGAGATTGTTTTTAATTATGTAGATACATGACAATATTAATAATTTAATAAATTTTTTGATGCTTTTATATAACTAAAGTTTTGATTAGTCTCCGCATAAAAAATTTGAATTATGTAACTTGAATTCCCATGCCATATGATTAAAACCCATGACATGCCTCCGCCTGATCTATTTATGGTCAAAAACTATTCGATCCGTGTACATTCCAATCAACTAATCCAATTTCAGTTAATGAAATTTTACCTTAATCAGAGTTTTTTTTAATTTTTTGTCTGATTTTTTTTTTCAATTTTTTATAAAGAAATAAAATATTATATTAAATATATTTACAAAATTATTATTTTTTTAAAAAAAATCAATATAAAATATAGGAAAATTGACCGACGTTGATAGTCTGATAGAAAGGTGATCAATTAAATTGGATAAATAGTTTGATTTTTCAAATTCATAAAAATCAAAAAAAATTGATATTTTTACAATATTTTATGTTGATTAATAATATTATTATAAACAAATTCCATATCCGAAATTCTCTAAATAATCACCAGATTTTTGAATAAAGATTTTAATTCAGATGATTTAGTTAAATTAATAACTTATCGAGTAAAATGAGTATCAAAAGAAATAATAATGAGTGAAATGAACAGATTCTAATACATTTAATTGTTCAAATATTTTTTTCTAAGTTATTAGTTATAAGTTTAAGATTGACGTAATATAAAATAATAAGAAATAATATAATTAATTAATAAAAAATATTTGTACTGTAGTAGTGTATTTTCATAATATCAAAGTTTTTTCGAAAATACTTCTAAAAAATTAATCAATTTTTATTGATAATTATTTTTTTTCACAATTCCTTAATTAATCCGAATTTCATTCTACACTCAAACGTCAAATCATTAATATAAACTATATTATTGTAAATATTATTTATATCATTCTAATATTATAAATATAATTTAATACATATTATTTTATTATTTTATATTGACTAATTATTACCATATTAAATTCCTAATTATAAACAAAAACTACTGTAACTAACTTTAATTTACTTAGTATTACATTTTAATACTAAAATTTTCTATTTAAACAAAATCATTGGTCCCGGTGCGAAGCAACGGTGACTGTTAGTATATATTAACATTTTAGACGCGCCGCGCTAAATAAAAGTTAGAAACTATGATTTAATTGTAAATTAATCATTAATTATTTGTATATATTTATTCAAATATGAAAAAAAATAAATGAAAACTAAAAATATGACTTTTAATGTAAATTTAAGTATAAAATCTTCTATTACCTAATTATTAGTGTATTAGGCGCACAAAAACAATTTTTACAAATAAATATATGATATATGACTTTAAAAATATTAATTATTGTCTCTAAATACGACAAAATCATTTTTTATTAGTACTTCTGTACTTACAGTGTCATTTTAGCGTTATTCAATAACTCAAAGAAAGTGTGATAAAAACATGACAAAGAATATTTACGTCATGTGTACGTTCTGATGGCCAATCTGAGAGATTTTCATTGTTAATACGGTTCCGGCTAATAAAATTTTAATCGTATATTTTTTGCTAAATAACGAAAACCATATTTCATTTTCAGATGATATCATACAATCAGCCGCAGCAGATCAAGTTGATATTTGATTTTAAAATCTTTTTCGGTCTCTTTTTAAACTGGATCTTTTTTTTTTTATATTTTTTGTCTTTTTTAGACTAGATCTTTTTAAGACTAGATCTTTTTAAGATTGGATCTTTATTTTATAATAATATTTATTTCTGGTCTTTTTTTCGACCGGATCTTTTAAGTCTTTTTTTTGACCGGATCTTTTTTTTTTTAATATTTTTTTTTTCAGTCTCTTTTTCAGTCTTTTAATCCGAGATTTTAATAATTTTTCTTTTCAATTTTTTTAAACCCGAATTTTTAATATTTTTCATCCTTTTTTTTCTCTTTATTATAATCTATACTAATATTGTATTAATGTATTTTTTTTTTTTTGTGTAATAATTTTTTATTTATTTATATACGTATTTTATTTTATCAACTTATGCATGTATATTGTTATTATTTACTTAGGTCTTTTAGGCTTAGATCTAGATCTTTGATCGGATCGATTGGATTTTTATTTTTAATAATTTTTTTCTTATGATTATTTTGCTAATTTTTTTTCTATTTTTTTCGATTGATGATGATATAATCAAAATAATTGAATAAATATATATTCTTTGTATGATTTTTTAGATTAAGTAACCTGTTAATATTATATAAGATCTAACTCATCTTAAATATTTAATCCTGTTGCAACGCAATTGGTTACAGCAAGTATTATTATTAGTATAAATAAACATAGTGTATCAAAATTCATGTAATAAACAGAATTTTCAAAAATTCTTAATTCTAAAATTATTTCTATGGTATTTAATTACAAAAAGGTGGAATTTTATATAAAGTTTTGCTTTAATCAAGATTACAATTCATATCTGATATATAATGAAAAACGAAATCTACATATATAAAAAATATTATAGTTATAAATATACTATGATAATATAGAAAATCTGGATTTTGAAAAAAGCAATAAATATATACTGTAAAATAAATATATTGTTAATATAAAAAAGCGAATTAGATTATTAGTAATAGTATCTAAGAGTTATATTTATTATTGCATAGGGATAGTGATGACAATGGTTGTCATGGTCGTTATTAACCCTTGTTTTACCAACTGACTGTTAGCCCGACTTGACCGACCAGACTATATCCGAATCAAAACTTTTTTTTTCAGAAATCTTTATATTATAAATTGCAAACTGTCGATCAAACGCTTGGCCAGAATGCCAGATGGACAGTCAAACCGGTCGGTTGACCAACTAAGATCGGTCACAGTCATGACCGGTCATAATTGGTTAATGACCCTATGACCGTTGTCATTTCTGGAATATATATTATAAATGAAAACTCATAAAGGATGACAATGATTTCCCGTTATATTTACTAAAGAATTCAATTATGGTGAACCGTACTCAATACTGTAAATTATTAAAGTCCTATTATTATTGGAATAAAATAGTATTTGGCATTATACAACGAATTTTTTATTTTATTTGTAAATTATCAGTATTTAATATCAATATAGTAAATTTGCTATTTGAACTATCTTAAAAATTTAAATAAATATTTTAAAAATAACATCTTTTACAAATTTTATTAGTGTCTATAGATAGGAGCAAATCAGGCGATATCATATGAAACAACTACCATCTCAATTAGGCAAAACAAACGAATTAAATATAATGCGGAAACATTCTTTTATTTAATAATAATGTTTTTCAGTAGTGCAAGATTTCAAAATAAGCGTTTAAATTCATAAAATTTACTATAAATATCTCTATAGTTTTCACATATCTTAATGTAATTTATCAAATAGAGAACATTGAGCAATACTTCTTTCAATTGGATCATAATCTTCAACATTACCCGGACTTAATTTACCTATCTCAATGACCTCCCACATACCTTGTCCAACTCTTGATACACAACACATAATGACAGCTTGAGAGTCAGCAGCTTTTTCTAATTGATAAGTACATAAAGGTTTATCAGGTTGAGTTTCATCTATCAACTTAAAACCTGGATCTTTAAAATGACCGATAGTAGGGGATTTAAACGTACTCAAAACAAAATATAATTGTGTTACTTCAGGTGGTAATGTATCTAATTTCGCCGTAATACGTTCGTGACCTCTTTTATTTGCATCATCTATCATACTGCCTGAATGTTTTATATGCGGAAATGATGGATAAAATACTGATTTATTATCATATTTTCTAAAAAATACATCACTAAAATAACATAACAAAATTAATCTTAGAGATAGTTCATTTTAAATTTTATTTCTTTAAAGAAATTGTGATATTTACCCCTTGTAAAGTAAACAACTTCCCTCCAAATAATCTATACTTCCAGGATAACCCCAAAATAAATCAAAGATGAGACTATTGATGGATTCTGCATAAGCCCTGCCATAGAGTTCAATAATCAATTGTATATGACTTCCTGGCTCAATTTTATAATCCTGTAACGTACAAGGTGTGGTAACTTGATCCTTAAATATATAACAAAATGAATTTAAATTAATTGAATTAATAGTAACCTCAAAAATGTAAGATGAAATAATTTTAATAAATTACCTGCAATTCAACACCATTATAAATTAATTTTTGTTTACTTTCATCAACACCTAATTTTTTTCTAATTTCTTTTCTTAACATAGGAATATTTTTAATTTGATTGTATCGAAAACGGCACTTTTGCCCATTTAATAATACAACATAAATGTCTTCCATATTATTGTTTCCATCAGCTGCATTAATACTTTGTGTTGTTTTTGCCTTTCCAATATTACCTACATCAATTTTAAATGAAACTCTATCCCATGCTAAAGATATTAGTCTTAATTCTTTTTCGGATAATTTCTCTGAACATTCGGGACATTTACGAATTTTTTGATCAGTGGTATTTGCCAAGTCTAAATTTTTTATCAAACACTAATATTATTTGGGGAATAATTGAAAGTTATTAATAGGAAAGAAAAATAGCGTTTTAGAAAATAAAAAAAGTTAAGAAACTTACACTTAAACAATAAGAAGGAATATGATTACACCGTTCTGTAATCATATTCGATGGAAACTCCTTAGAGAGTTTATCATTTTTGCACTGGGAACATTTCATATTAAAACAGCTCAAATTTTGCAATGTGTAGTAACAAAAATCTCCTCCTTATATTGATATTTTTTGGTCATAGACAACAAAATAAGGTATTGTGTAACACAGTAACAGTAAATTTTATTTCAACATTGATTATCACTACTCTTTTCGATAAGCATATTTTATGTTACAAAATATCAAATTGTATACGTATAGACCATTTAATGCTTTTCAGTTTGTTAAATAACCTAATTGAAAAAAACAATAAAAGTGCACGTGATTTCACGAAAGGTTAATTAGTACATGCTTGTGAATTTTTTTTGTAGACTATTTCTATTTTCTATGAATTGAGCGGCTACCATATATTAATATTTTATTGTTTATGTTTGCTTATCAATATTATTAAATCTGCTCTTGTTATTTAGTAACTAGTGTAATTTTATTTAATTAAATAATGATATAGGAAAATCAAAAATATATATATATATATATTATAAAAACGTATAGCGCTAAATTTTATTTGATAATATATTTTAAGAATATATTTCAAATTCATTTTTTTACATTAAGAAGCAGTCATTCATTTATTGTTTCTTACAGTTATTCATTTATTGCTTCTTATAGTCATTCATTTATTGCTTCTTGCAGTCGTTCATTTATTGTTTCTTACAGTCATTCATTGTCTCTTACAGTCATTCATTTATTGTTTCAGTTATTCATTTATTGTTTCTTACAGTTATTTATTTTATTATTTCTTATTTTTAAAAAATTAAAATTGGAGCGTTAATTAAACAAATATATATACTATATATACTACTATGTATATAACAACTCAATATAGTTAATGACATCAGAACTAAATCAGTCTCCTTTTTTCTTAAATTAAATAGAAAATAATGTAATCTATTTTCGCTCATTATGAGATATTTTGGTAAATTTGTATATCAATGGTTAGCTGAATTCATACTATAACATCAGTGTAACAATAATAATTACGTCATACGTAGAATATTACTGCATGTTGTTGTAATAATTTTTATGATTGTAGGTACTTTATCATATTAAGATTATGCCAAATAGGTGTGTAATAGTAAGTGATATTCACATTAAATCGGTGAGATTGGTAAATTAAAAAAATAAAATTCCATCTTGATATTAAAAGTCACATGACATTTAAATTTTATCATTTTAAAAGGAAAATGAATGACATAGCCTGATATTGACATAATAGATAATTGATATTACTATATTAAATAAGTTATTTAATTAAGTGAAGTTAAAAAAAAAATGTAAAAGAAAATTTATGAAAAAGTTTATATGAAGCTTATTAGTTATTCCTGATCGATGAAAATATAGCATGATTAAAAAGCGTGACGCTTTTATCGGATGTGGGATATATCGGCTACAGGGCCCATTTTCATCCGATATAACTACTTTTCCACTTCATTACAGTACCAAACCGATTTTGTATTTATCAAATTTTCAGTTCAGGTTTGTAAGTAAAAGTAAAATGAAAGCAAGAGAAATGAAGGAACAGTATAATTTTGGAAATTTAGAAAGAAAGAAAGGTTTATAAAAGTAAAATGAAGCTCATCTTTTCATAATAATACAAGGGTTTTAAATTAAAAGTTTGATGATATAATCGATAATCTATATTGATACGAGTAAAATTTTTTTTTTTTTTTTATTAAATTATACAATGTACGAGAATATATGGCAACTGGTTAATTACATAGTTTTTTTAGAAGATAATAGTATAATAGTGTTCTATATTAAAAGTTCGATGTGTATTTAGTACTTACCAATATTTATGTAACTTTTGTGCTGTCAATACCTAGATGTGTATAAGAGACAGGTATAATAGTGTTCTATATTAAAAGTTCGATGTGTATTTAGTACTTACCAATATTTATGTAACTTTTGTGCTGTCAATACACTTTCAGTTGTAAAATTTGTAATGACAAACCAAAAGACCGTTTATAGTTAAAAAAAAAATGTTCGCTCAAATTTCAAATCACTGGAAAAAATGAATATTGTCATATAGAAGAACGATGACAAAACATGACAAGATTTAATAATAATAAAATGTATCAGGAATGATAATAATTAAACTTTATAATTGAAATAAAACTTTTGAATTCTTTTATATTCGAAATACTGTACTTTAAAAAAAAATCGATTTTACCCAATAATCTGTGTCCGCCGTAGTATGTGTAAATCCGGCTACCGTGTGACATCACGTATTTTTCCAAATACTTCATAATCTTCAATTTCGAAACTATAATTTTAATAATTCTATTTTCGTATTCTTTAAGAAACTTTATCAAATATTCGAAGACCACCATCACCAAACTCACTTTTATCATGCGCAGAATCATATATTGCATTTTTTCCGTTCTTAATAACTCTACTTGGAATTGTTGATGACGGATTTGGAGTAGATTGAAATGAGAAAATAAACTATCACCGTTGAAAGATATTTATTAGAAACCCTTCAATTTAAAGGATTATAACCTCTAATGATTTTATCATTATCTTTCAACTTAATTAATATAAATCTAGTTCTTTTATTACATATTTTTTAGGTATTAAGAGCTCCAAAATTGGTAAGAGCGTTTACTTAAATGATATTTATGGTAATTGTGATGATAGATATTAGTTGATCATTGTTAATTTGGATAATCATAGAATTACAGGACGTAATGTTTTTATTAATGAGTTCAATGTGACGATCGTAAACAAGAGTAATTATATATAGGAACCAAACTCGAGCATTTAGACTTAAATTAATTAATTCTATTTTTATCCATTAGATTAGAATTCGATTCTTTTTTCCTTTTTCTTTTTTCTTATGATGAAAAAGTACCACATTAATTATTTTATTAATGGAAGGTTATATTAATTAGGGGAAATTATCGCAGTTTAGTTTTAGAAATTGACTTTTAGGAAATAGTTTAGAACCAAGTATTATGATGGTTTTAGTACTTTGTTAATAATTAACTCGGATCACATTAATATTTTGTATTATTTAATAAAGGAATATTTCTGTAGCTTAAGGTGGCAAACGTCTATACGACGGGCTTAAGTTCTACAGTATAGAGTCCTGTATATTATGAAATCTGTAATCAACGTGGAGGTGTGACCAGATGTGAAGAATAAATTTACTATGATCCCGTGACCGAGTTTCCATTACGTGACCATGTGACAATTGTGACAAACATCATTAGGCATACAATTAAAATATTTTATATTCATTTTCATGACCTCTATGACTTAAAACTAAGATGAAAAAATTAAAATATAGTGTATATTAGTTTTATTAGCATGAAAATTTTTTAAAAATTCAGTAGATTTTCAATATATCGAAATTTTTTCGCTATACCGGATATTCTGATAAACCGGATATTTTTAATGGAACCGATAGATCAGTTTATCGAATTTCACTGTGTACATGGTAAATAAAAAACCAAATTGATAAAAGATTCGAAAGTATTGTTTTAAGTTAAAATTTAATTATATTTTTTTAATTCCTTACACTAAATTTCAATTTAATGGTGCGGGCATACTTAATATCATCTTCCCGATCATTTTTCGATCACGTATAGCAATTTATTAAAATGATGAATGTTTTTAAATAACTTACAGAAGTAAAATATTAGTAAAAATCATTATAAACACCCATTTAAACATTATTATTATAACAAATTATATTAAAATGACATCAATAAAAGTAAATATATTAATATATGTGATGATGGTGAATACGCGTAAGCAAAACTTGAAACTTTGCATAAATATTCTCTATCTACAGTAAAAAATAATACAGTAATCCGTTCCATAGTACAGGTTTTTTATTATCGGAGAATTTAATGAATTAATATGAAATTAATAAGTTATACCATAAAATTAATAAATTAATGCCTCCAAATTGTTCTACAAAATAACGAAATTTATTAAATTTTCCTGCGAAATTAATGATATGAGATTTATAAACAATGCTAAATCACTATTTATATCAGAATAATATTTCGATTTTTGCAAAAAAAATATATAACACATTTTTGGGATAATGCTATCTTGTGTTTCATTATGAAAATAGGCAATTTTTCTTATGTGACAAGTGACAACGTCAATCAAATAATCGGCAAATTCGTGATGATATAGAGATGTAGCCCAAGATCTATAAAATTTAAAAAAATCATATTATAAATTAATAAAAATAAGCAAATTTTATTACTTATATACAGTATTAGCTGTATATTAACAACTACGAAATAATTAATTTTCTACAGTTAATATATAAATATTTAATTATTGATAAAAAAAAATCAATATAAATTGAATATTTCACATAAATGTAATATATTGACTCAAGTAAAAGTGACCAGAGATTCCGAGTTAGGGTGGTTTTATTATAATTCTAATGTTGTGACTTCGTTATTCAATATTTTAATGTGATTTAAGTGAGATTTTCAAAAGTTAAAGAGGTCTTTTTTTTTAATTCACAAACACATTATGCACGATGCAAAGTATGTATTTATTATTAAAAAAAATTTGCATGAACTATGAAGAACTACAAAAAATTTAACCAGAAAATTTTTGTTTCAAATAATTCTTGTGAATGATCGACATCGAAATAATACTAAGCTCCATTACGTAATGCTTACATAAGCAATTATAGTATTTATGCACATTTTTGTGTTACCTTTCACTTGTTACATAATTTACTATAAATAAGATTTTTTTTAAAAAATTTTTGAGCTTTTGAAAACAATGTCTTCCCAAAGTATATCTTTGAGAGAAAATAATATTCCGAAATATTTAGGAATTAATTTTACAGAATGGACTAGTGGTAATGAAAAAATTGATGATTTCATTCAAGAAAAGCAATTAAAAATTAATAGCCATGAAGTGATGAAGACATAGTGCTTGAATGGATACCATATAATCAGTTTAATGAAATTAAGGAGATAAGCAAAAATGGTCTTATAACAGTATATTCAGCATTATGGAAGGATGGTCCGTTATACAAGAAATATAGTTATAGTAGTTATACAAGAGATCCAAACAAAGAAGTTACTTTAAAATGTTTACATAATTTACAAAAATCCATTGATTCTTTAATAAATGAGGTATGAAATTTATTCAATTATTTAATTACTTTTTTAATTAATATATTTACATCAATCTCTTATTTATTTTTAGGCTAAAAAATATCTAACAAATCATAAAGCATTTCAAGTATTGTATGGAATATCTCAAAATCCAAATACAGAAGATTATATTTTTGTTCTTATGTGGACAAGTGGAAATGAAAAAATTGATGATTTCATTCAAGAAAAGCAATTAAAAATTAATAGCCATGAAGACATAGTGCTTGAATGGATACCATATAATCAGTTTAATGAAATTAAGGAGATAAGCAAAAATGGTCTTATAACAGTATATTCAGCATTATGGAAGGATGGTCCGTTATACAAGAAATATAGTTATAGTAGTTATACAAGAGATCCAAACAAAGAAGTTACTTTAAAATGTTTACATAATTTACAAAAATCCATTGATTCTTTAATAAATGAGGTATGAAATTTATTCAATTATTTAATTACTTTTTTAATTAATATATTTACATCAATCTCTTATTTATTTTTAGGCTAAAAAATATCTAACAAATCATAAAGCATTTCAAGTATTGTATGGAATATCTCAAAATCCAAATACAGAAGATTATATTTTTGTTCTTATGTGGACAAGTGGAAATGAAAAAATTGATGATTTCATTCAAGAAAAGCAATTAAAAATTAATAGCCATGAAGACATAATACTTGAATGGATACCATATAATCAGTTTAATGAAATTAAAGAGATAGGCAAAAATGGTCTTATAACAGTATATTTAGCAATATGGAAGGATGGTCCATTATACAAGGGATATAGTTTTAGTAGTAATACAAGAGATCCAGACAAAGAAGTTGCTTTAAAATGTTTACATAATTCACAAGAATCCATTGATTCTTTAATAAATGAGGTATGAAATTTATTCAAATATTTAATTACTTTTTTAATTAATATATTTACATCAATCTTTATTATATTTAGGCTAAAAAATATCCAACTAAACATGAAGAATTTCAAGTATTGTATGGAATATCTCAAAATCCAGATACAGGAGATTATGTTTTGGTTCAAAATTATACTATAAATTGGATTAGTGGAAATGAAAAAATTGATGATTTCATTAAAGAAAGGCAATTGATTATTAATAATTATGATGATATTGTATTCGAATGGATATTATACAATCAGTTTAATAAAATTAAAGAAATAAGCAAAAATAGCCTTATAACAGCATATTCAGCAACATGGATAAATGGTCCGCTGTATTATAGCTATAAATATAAAAATTATACAAGAGATTCAAATAAAGAAGTTGTTTTAAAATATTTATGCAACTCACAAAATTCCATTAAATCTCTGATAAATGAGGTATAAAATTTCTTAAAATATTCAAATACTTTTTTAATTAATATATTTACAATGTTTTTTATCTATACTTAGGCTAAAAAATATCCATCAAAGCATGAAGCAATTCAAGCATTGTACGGAATTACTCAAAATCCAGATACAGGAGTCTATCTTTTAGTTCAGAATAATTATAATGTATGGATAAGTGAAAATGAAAAAATTGATGATCTTATTCAAGAAATGCAATTAAAAATAGATAATTATAGTGACATAGTATTTGAATGGATACCATATAACCAGTTTAATAATATTAAGGAAGTAGGTAAAGGTGGCTTTGCTATAGTTTATTCTGCAAATTGGAAAAATGGTCCATTAGAATATGATGCAGATGAAAAAATATATAAAAGGAATCCAAATAGAATAATTGCCTTAAAATATTTGTATAATTCACAAAATATTAGTGATAAATTTTTAAACGAGGTATGAATTTCTTTTAAAATTGTTTATAAATTCTTGAAAATTTAATTAAGTAAAATAATTGTTTTTTATTATTTATGTAATTTAATAGGTTAAAAAATACTCAATAAATAAAACAAGCAATATTCTTAATATATATGGAATATCTCAAAATCCAGATACAAAAGAATATATTATGGTACTCCAATATGCAAAAGAAGGCAACTTTAATCATTGGATAAATAAAAACTATGAATATTTTAATTGGAGAGATAAACTATCTGCATTGCTTAATATCATTAATGGTCTTAAAGAAATTCATCAAAAAAGTATAGTTCATCGTGATTTTCATACAGGAAATATATTATTTTTAAGTGAGATATATAATTTTGGTAATTGTATATCAATTTCAGACATGGGATTATGTGGAGAGGTTGGTAATTTAGATGAAAATAAAATTTATGGAGTTATGCCTTATGTGGCTCCTGAAGTATTAAGAAGAAAGCCTTATATCCAAGAATCAGATATTTTTAGTTTTGGTATGGTAATGTATTTTGTAGCTACTGGAAGACAACCCTTTTACAATCGTGCACATGATCATCTTCTTGCATTGGACATCTGTAAAGGAGTTAGACCTGAAATAAATGAACTAGAAGCACCAAGATGTTATATTGATTTAATGGAAAAGTGTTGGGATTTAAATCCAAATAATAGACCAAATATTTTCAAAGTAAATGAATTGATCACGTCATTTCGTAAGTCATATGGAATGGATTTTTTCGTAATAGAAAATGAAGAAATTGGAATACAATTCAAAAAAGCAGAAGAATATAGAAAAGCAAATCTTTCATCCATTAAAAATTACCAAATGGAAACCCATTCACAAGCTATTTACACATCTCGATTACTTAATTCTTTTACAGAAGACCTTCCAGATCATGATGATAATACTCAATGCTTAGATCAAGTAGTCTAAGTCCAAATGAAGCACATTAACCTGTACTACCCAAGGTAGAGTTACATAAATTAACATTTTCAAAATTTAAAGAATATTAAGATTTTTATTTTCACTATGTACATAGCAATTAAAATTAATTATTTTTTGGATCTGCTGTAGAACGAAATATGAGATCTGATTTTTTTTTTTGATTTTTATTGCTTTCTCTTTCTAGTCTTGGTTTAGCTCAAATAGAAGGGAAACTTTAAACTGGAAGCTAAAATAAAATAGATTAATTATTATTGAAAATAATGACCAATAGGAACGCGTATTTAAACAATTTATATTTAAATAGCAATTTGTTAACTTTTTTATAGATGAAACGAAATAAAAATAAAATATTTAAAATATGTAAAATAATTTTTGAAAAAAAAAATAAAAAAATGATTTTCAGAAAGAAAATATATTAAAAATCATCTTAAACTTCACGAAGTTAATGACATTTTATAAAATAAATTGATATTTAGAAATTATATAGTTTTCAATTTGTTAGCTTTAGGATCGTAGCGTTAATTTAATAAATACATTGATATAACAATTGTATTTTACATTCTATTAATTAATAATCTTTCCTAAAAAATAAATTACAAGAATAGAATTTATTTTATTAATATATATATTTAAAATAGATTATTGACTAACTAAACTCCCTTTTCTGTATTGTTTTTCAATTTTTTTCTCATCCAATTATATACTGTAAATCTGTAATATACTGTATATTAAATACGCACTGTACACTGCAAATGAATTTTCCAGAGTACCATACTAATTATACGAATTAAGGGTTGCGTACAAGAGTATTTTGCCACGTTTTCACATTGCGCCACATTAAATTATTAAAACAATGTTAATTATATAATATATATGTTAAATATGTATAGTTGAATTTTTCAGTTTTCCAGCAGATCGTCATATTAATAATGAATGATGTGAAGTCCAAGAGTATTTTTCCACGTTTCTAAATTGCGACACGTTAAAATATGATACAGTAGAATTGTTGGTCAAATTTTTGTTTATCATAAAGTATTTATTGTCATAGATAAATTTTTGATGAAAGTAATAAACACAACAAAAGAAATTTGTATCCAGATGCAATATTGTATTTATTTATGATAATTATAAGAAATAATTTTTTTAAAAACACACTTAATAACAAAAATAATTAGGATCAAATTTTATAATAGCGAATTAAAAATAAACTTTAAGGCTTCTATTTTTTTTTTGTAACTTTATTTTAATGGAAGCAACAGTGCACGATCTTCATTTCGAAAAAATTCATTTTGGATAAATTAATATTTAATTTCAAAAATAAACTCAAACGTATAAAAATTATATATTTTATTGCAAAAGTTTAATGTACAAAATTTGTTTATAACAATTAAACCTTAACGTTACAAGGAACTTATTTCTTTAATGCATTAAACCAGCAGAGTCACGTTCATTCATCAGTTCCATGTCCAGTACGTTTACCCGCTACACAAGAGAAAATGATGTCATGCATTATTAACATGTAAAGATATTAATTTTTATTGAGATAATTACCTTCTCGTTTTACAGGTAAAGCTACTATATTATTTATAAAAAAGATTTTAATATTTAATTAATTTGATAATAAATCAATATTAACGTCAATAAAAAAATTAAGTAAAAAACTGTATATTACCCGCTGAAACAATAATAAAGGCAAAGATTAATAACAAATATTTTAAATTCATGGTTCCAAAAAAATGTTTGATTTTTTAAGTAGTAAATATTTTTTGGTTCGTTGTTTGTGAATTTCAAAAATATTTTTTTTCTCTCTTTCTCGAGCCATTTTTATAAGATAATTTTTTTAAAAAAATAATTTGATAACACGTACTTCAAATTACTTTTTTTTTATTTATGATTGCATCATTTAATTACTAATTAAGGTTAGAGCTGGTTTACTGGTTAAAGATTTGTTTAACTAGTTAAAGTTTATTATTTCGTTAAAAAAAAAATTTTTATGATCAAATAGTCTAATCAGCCAAAATTAAGTTTAACCGGTTAGGCCAATAAGATTTTGGGGCTGATTTCAATTATAGTTGAAAGTGAAGTAAAGAATGTACAAGAGTATGTTTGCCACGTTTTTCTACACAGCCCAAAATTGGGATAAGCTGCGCTACTCTAAAGAATATTATTAAAATTATGGCAATCAGATATTGGATATTAATAATTATTTCGAAAAACAATTATTTGTAAAAATTGCTGTATCACGTATAAAAGAATCTTAAAATACAGTAGATCAAAATTTATATTGTATTATCATATTAAGGAAATTTCTTGATGTAAAGTCAGAAATATATATGAAAGGGTCAGGTTTATTTTGAACTAAAAAAAGTCATGAAAACCTTTCCTTTTTTTTAGATAATTTTTGATAATGCCGGTCAGAATTTTATTTCCTATTATAGCAACCGACTGACATTATCATAATTCCGGCCCTGAAAAAATGCGTACAGCTCATAGTAAAAAAAATTTTTCATCACCTGACCCCTATATATATATTTCTGGGTCCCGGTACACTCAATAAGAAAATGTTTTTATTTTGATGCTTATATTACTAAAAAAAACCCTAGACTTTGCAAATGTTAAATTAGATTTGACCGATATAAGTAAAGATTATTTATATACTAGATTTTGCAAATTATTAAATATGTTTGAGTTTATATTTAAATAAATATTAATTTATTAAAGCATGAGTTCTTTAAAATGAAATTCAAGTTGTTATTGTTTGTCATCATTAAAATAAAATTACAAAATAGAAGCTGTGTCGTTTATTTTTGATTTACCATTATAAAATTTGTTCCTAATTAATAACGAAAGTTTAATAAAATCTGGGTCTTCTAAAATACTTTAAGATTGCATCTTCATAATTAGGGTCACTTTCACTTTCTTCTATTTTTCTTGTGTTTTTTTAAATTCTCTTTTTCTTCCATTTCTTTAAGTATCAGTTTATATTTACTTTGTGTGATAGCTAATTTTTTTTTTTTTAATTAAAAGAAGAAAAAAATAAAGCTTTGAAGTGTGAGAATTATTTTTGTTAATCAATTTCAATGTGAAATCTTTATGCGATATTGATCAATTTTGATAATTAAATTTGTTAGTAGCTGGTTAAGACACATAAAAATTTTGATAAAGGTGAATTAACAGCAGTTATTTTTTTTTTTAACACAATTTGTACTAATATTAATTATAAGTATTTCATAAAAAATAATATTAGTTGAAATTGTGTTATCTGTTTGTAAGCTTGATCATTATACCACAATAATATAGATTCGATTTTTATATTGATAATCGATTCTATTCTGGTTTGATTAATTCGATTTTAGCAGGATCGATTCCAATCCCTTATTCATTTATACAATTGAGTTTTATTTATTATTAATTTTAGATAATTTAATATGACCAAATTTATTAATAAAAAAAAACATTTCATTATGATGTTAATCCTCAATTTTTTTCAAATACGAATAATTGATAATTATGAGTCTTTGTATATTTCCATCAAATGTTATCAAATGTTTCAGGATTATCTGCTATATTTTTTTATATACTAAATATTTTCATTTAAAATAAAATGAGTTCAATTTCTTTCATCTATAATAAAAAAAAAAAAAAATAGCTTAATTAAAATTTGATAAATCAAAAAAAATCACATGCAAAAGTAAATTACCTTTAGAATTAATATCAAGTTTAGTAAAATCCATTCTTAAGGAATCTGTAAAAAAAATGAATAATTATTACTCTAAATAAGTTTAAATAATTATTTTGAATTAAAATTACCTGAATATTCTAAATCTTCATTGTCAGCATTTATGGGTTCTGGAAGATTTTTAAAATTTAATAGTCTACTTATGTAGACTGCTTGAGGATGTGTCATATATGAAAGTGTACTTGTAGATGATATTGGTGATTGAACTGAAGAAGATGACTTTTTGTTGGTTTCATCTGCTTCTTTAACTTGCTCGCAAATTACAGAATCCACTTTATTATAACTAATACCTTCATATAATTTCCATATTGACTCATGTAATTCATTTGCATTAGGTCGTTTTAAAGGGTCTGTATCCCAACATTGATTAATTATGTCAACAATTAGTTGAGGGATTTTATAATCACATTTTGGTCTCAACCCATGACAAATTTTTATAGCTAAGAATTCATCATGAGCTATATTATAATAAGGAGGGAAACCTGTACAAATTTCATATGCAATAATTCCATATCCATAAATATCAATTGCTTGAGTATATTCTTTTCCTCTTAAAACTTCTGGAGCTACATAAGGTAATACTCCATATATTTTTTTATTACTATTTTGAGAAGATTTGACATTTGCAGGTTGACATAATCCCAAATCAGTAATATAAGCATATTCATCAAAATTGCTTAATATATTTCCACTATGAAAATCATGATGAATTAATCCTTTATTATGAATATCTTTAAGACCAAATGCAATACATTGTAAACTATACAACTTTTGGCTCCAATTCAGTGAAATGAAATTGTTATATAAATGTTGTCTTGAACTACCATCTATTAATTCCATAACCATCATAAAATTATTTATTTTTGGATCTTTAGTAATACCAAAACAACGAACTATCCAACAAGAATCATATTCTAAAATATTTGACTCAACCTTAAAAGAAAATTATAGTTAGTTTAACATTTATAAAGGCTAATGAAGAATTATAAGAAAATATCTTACTTCTTTTAAAAAATCTGCTGTAATATCTTGTGAGTTATGTAAGCACTTTAAAGCAACTCCTGTTTTACCTTTTCTTTCCAATTGATTATTGTCATAATTAATTTTCCAAGGACCATCTTTCCAAACTGCTTTAAAAGTAGTTCCAAATCCTCCTTTTGCTAAATATTCAACATCTTCAAATTTATCATATTATATCCACTCTATAATTTGTTTTTCATCTTTAGCTTTTAATTGTACGTTTTGAATAAATTCATCAATGACACGATTTCCACTTGTCCAATTTTTGAAATTTTGTTTAAAAGGTTTGGAATCACTTGACCGACAATAATAATAATCAATATTAGGCTGTTTACAATTTCTACATAAACCATTTT